TGAACTTACAACGAAATTAAATGACGTCAGACAAATGTTTATCTTTGATGAAACATGTTTTGCCGTTCGTGTTTTTGGGTTGAAACAGTGAAATGCATATAAGAATTCCTTTTTCTATGCATTTGCGTGGTTTGAATTCGAATGTTTGTTCTGTGACTAATGTACACTTCTTTCGCAATCGAATGTGTTGTTGTTGTAAAAAGAAAACTTTAATGTTTTTCTTTTTTTTCCCATTGGTGAGTTACAAATCATTCGCGGAGTACGACATATAAGGTCAGACATCGAACAACGACAATCACAAATCAGTATCACATCGTTTGAATTCGGCTTACTTGTTTTCTATTGAACCCAGAGTGGTAAGTTATTTACGAGAACTATTTGACAATCACGAGAGAGCAATAGAAACGCTACGGATCTCTTTCTTGTTTTCGTTGTAAGTTCATTTGAAATGTTAAACGAAGGTAGCAGAGACCGAAACTCAACTGAATATTCGACAATTCGGTTCGATTCGATTTGCGTTTCGAAGAACTTCGATCGAACCGAGCTGACTCGGATGGAATTATAGAAGCACCGAATTGAACCGAGTCGAATTGACTTGTTAGATATTCGACTCTCAATAACCTATGAGGTTCTTTGTGAACCAATCGATTTTTTACCATATTCATCTTGGAGACGTATTCAATTTCTTCAAACAAACGTCTTTTGTAGGAACTAGGAAAATACTTTACATCGATACTAAGCAAGAACGTTATTTTCTCTATTACCCATGATAGATGGTGACTTTTACACATTGAAAACTTTCAAACATCGTATTTGTTTCCTTGCTTGACACCCCACACCCAATGTAGCAGGTGTTCTTCCTTATTATTTTTTTGCAGTCGACAGTCATTATTAACCATAGGCTTGAGTGTCGTGGGTGTTCTCTTGGTAGTTTTACTGAAAAACTAATAAAAATACCTCTGTTTTCCTATATTTTAAGGCATAGGCAGCGGAAATGGGTGGCTGGGGGGTCTTCAGCCCCCAAGTTTTGAAACATTCTCCTGAAAGATCGCTTTTTCCCTCTCAAAAATCCACGAAAAACTCGTTTCAGCCCCCCCCCTCAAAACCGAAAATCTCCCTCAAGCCACCACAACCTAAAATCCGTTCCGCCGCCCCTGTTTTAAGGGGCTATTTTTCCAGCCATGGGAGAGATTTCGGAGTAGTGTCGAACTCGTTCATTCGTTACGAATTTACGAACATTCGAATTTACGGACTTTCGAGTTTTAGAATTTGCAATTAATCGCCTCTACGGACTTACCTAATCGTCTCCCTGCTTCACCCTCAACCTCACTGCAAGAAACATTTGGATGCTTGCTTCGCCGTCACCCTCACCGGCACATCCTCACATCACCAAGCTTCACCGTGTCATCGTCACCCTGCACGTCTCCATCCCCACTATGAAACAACGGTGCAGGCCAGCCTCGCCCTCACCCTCACGCCCCCACCCTCACCCTCATCCTCACTATGGGAAGATATGTTAAATTCGAAAGTCCGTGAATTCGAATGTTCGTAAATTCGAAAATTCGAAAATTCGAAGTAGAATTCGTAAATTCGTAGCGAATTAACGAGTTCTACATGTATGCTCAAATGATATGGATGTTGATCTAAAATCATCTGGGTTCTTCGTTTCAATAGATTTCACATGAAATAACATCGGCAAACAGTCTTCTTCAAAGTGTCAATCTTTTGACCTCGTGTCATTGCTGATCCTGATGAACCGGATTAAAAGATATATGGCAGAGTAGTATGTTTCAAACGTGGAAGCTTTCGTTTTCTTTTTGAAAAATTCGCTTTGAAATAAGTAAAGGACATCGACGTCGCTCCTTCCTCTTTCTTTTCTTTCATCACGTACTCTCAAGGTGACTCACAGGAGAGATTTTGTTTCCAATACAGAAACAGTGCGCCTATGGAAAGTAATGATCCTATAAATATCCAACAATCGACAAAAATCAGTTATAATATATACCTAACATATTTAGACGATTGTATCGAACGCAACAAAACAACTTCAGCAATGACATCGAATCCGTATGTATACGCAGTTGTTTCATATAACAATTAGCCTACTAAAAAATCATAACAGTGAATAGCTTTCATTCGTGGAACAGGTACAATGATAAACATCTGTATTTCTTATTTTTGTTAAATTAAAGATCGATCGATAGGCTCAGAGAAAATATCAAGAATGGTCATACTCCAATTAGAGGTGTCAATCTCGGCGGTTGGCTTGTTGCCGAACACTGGATGACAAGATTATCGCCAGCCTGGAAAGATGTTTCCGAAGACATTGCCGATAAAGGTGAATTTCAAACGATGCGATTTCTCGGTGAGCTAAGCACAACTTCTTCATATGTGCAATAAAACTTCCGAGTTTCTTTTGCTTTCTATCACATGGATTCTCTTGGTCAGGTCATGACAAAGGTGACAATCAGTTTCGACAACATCGTGATACATTCATTACAGAACAGGATTTTCGCGAAATAGCTGCACATCACATGAACACTGTTCGAATTCCTGTTGGTTACTGGATTACTGAATTCGATCATAGCGGTGGTGGTGATTCCAATGGATGGCGAGTATATGCTCCGGGTGCTATTCACTATCTGGATCGAGCTATCCGAGAATGGGCACCACGACATAATCTGCTTGTCTTAATTTCTTTTCATGCTGCTAAAGGTAGCCAGAATGGCAACGATCATAGTTCGCCATCTGATCCGGGCAAATCGCATTGGGGACATTATCCCGAGAATGTACGAAATACTTTGGATGCTGTGGAATGGTTGGCTCGACGATATAATAATGATGCAGCATTTTTAGGCCTTAGTCTGCTCAATGAACCATGCGGTAACTTCTTCAATTCTTTCGTCGTTTTTCTATTGTCATGACATTTTCGACAGGAACGACCGGCGTAAATGTGCTCAAACAATACTATCACGATGCCGTCGAACGCATTCGTCCGTTCTCCAGTTGTCTTCTAGCCGTTTCTCCTCGACTCGACAAACAAGAAGCTGATGACAATGATTGGAACCACTTCATGCCACCGCCTGCCTTTCACGGTATTCGTCATGAATGGCATTTGTATCAAGTTTGGGGTTTTAAAGTAAGTTCAGATCTGTACGGTGACTTGTCTCTTACTGCCACTTTTTGTCGACAGGGTTGGGATAAGAATCGTCTGATTGCTTTTGCAGAAAATGATTTGAAAAACAAGATCAAAGCATGGAGAGGCAATTGGTTATTCATTGGCGAATGGTCCATTGCATCGTTACCCTCAACTTTTGACAATGATGATGATTTGCGTCGTTATGCAAGAGCACAACTCGATGCATTCAAAGAAGCTCATGGTGGTTGGACGTATTGGACATGGAAAGTCTACAATGATGATGCATCAACTAATGCATGGAGTATGAAAGCAATGCTTGACCGAGGTCTTCTTCAACTTTGATCACTATAAATTTTTTTCATCTTTCGATTGAAGAAATGCGAAACGATCTCGTCCATTCGCACTACCTTCCTTATTTATGATGCAGTGTAAGAATAATCGCGATGTTTTTATATTTAAAACATGTTTTTTCAACTCTTTTTCCATTTTCGTTTCCACATGCAAAAAAAAATGTTGATTTCCAATCAGTACAAAATGTAAAAGTGTTTTCTTCGTTCTTTGTTGTCAATATCTGAATGGCTTCAGGGGTGTGAGGGTGAGGGTGAGGATGAGTATGAACAACAAACTACCACAATCCAAGGATTTCTCACTTGTTAAAGGAGAACAATCATCAGGTGGTACGAGAATTCTGCATAGTTTGAATAGAAAATCATCGAAATTCTTACGAATTCCAAAGAATTTTGTATTCAACGAGCAGCAGATAGTCTTGATGTTACATAGGTGAGTAAGGGGGTGAGGGTGAGGGTAAGGGCGAGTGTGAGTGTTCAAAGCACACCGTGACCGGTCTCGTCCTTGCTTAAGGGACTCATCAGACGGTTTTGTTGTCATAAATATACTCTATTCTATTCGAATGATCAGAAGATCATAAATAAGAAAGCTTGAGGGTGTGAGGGTGAGTTTCATTGGAACGGCTGATTCAAAGCATCCATACGACGCGTTTCGACTGTTGCGTAGACAGTCATCATCAGGTATGTTTAGAATCAAGAACTACATAGTAGAAAAATCGAACCTAAAACTGAACAAGAATCACAATTCTCGAAAGAATATGATTCAAAATTCCAAGGAACGAGAATTCTGTTCGTAATCATCCAAAGAAGTGGTGAGTTTCATTGGAAGAGATGATTCAAAGCATCATACGACGATCGTTTCGGATCTTGCTTAAGGATCCATCATCAGGTATGTTTCGAATCAAAGACTACATAGATCTAGAAACCTAAACTGAATAAGAATCACAACAATAATCCGAAGATTAATATATGATTCAATATTCATAGGTTTGAGGAACATTGTCGTAGTCAGTCTATAAAGGGTGAGTTTATAGAGAATGATTCAAAGCATACGTACGACATGTTCGGATCCTTGCTCAAGGGGCTAATTATTCGGCTGAGACTATGATCTGTAAATATACATTAAGTTGATGGAGTGCTCTGGCCAATGTTGTAGGAAAGCTAGCGGATGATAAAGAGCTGTTGACGTTTATTTTTTTCGGGTTCATTGTTTGAAAATGATTATTTACTTTCTGAGAACTTATCCAAGCTGATTAAGAGTATCAGTATTTCAGGGCACCCGCACCTAGTGCTCGCCTGCTGCGCTCAATTTCATCCTCACCCTCACTTTGGAATTGTCCTCGCTCTCACACTCAGTACAAATTATGCGGTATTTAGTTCAAGATGTATGGAGACCGATTAGAAATTCAATGGAGTGTGGGAAAAAGAAGTCCTAAAAGCTGCTGATAGATATTTATCTATAATATTCAAAGGCATAGCGATCATGAGACTCTTAGATAAAGGTATAGGAGATAAAATCTTTTTCAGTCGGAAGGACCGTACCTTGACCTAGTCTTCTAAGATTTGTGAGAGATAGCATGACACGTGTTTCGACCTTTCTCAAGGGTCTCATCAGATGGCTTTGCATGGTTTTGGAAGATATTGGTCGTTGGAGAAGCCATGACACGTGTTTTTTTTTGTTTATTTATAAGGAATGGAGAAAATGGGTATATGTACAGGGGATTAGGGGAATACTGTTTACATATTTACATATTTACAATATTTACAGTATATACATATTTACAGTATTCACAATATTTACATATAGAAGACTATGTACAAGATAAAAATTGATAGACGACGATTCGAGGATGGGAAGAATTAATGCGAATCAGGACTGTGGCTGTTTCTGTTGTCGGTATCGTTCAAACATTTGATGAAATTCATCGACATCACCTAGTCGAGCATCATTCGAATCCATTGATGATGAGGATGATGATGATGAACCGGATAGAGATTCATCAATAGGAGTAGTAGTAGCAGCCTGTTGATGATGATGTGGTTTGGATCGTCGTTTGAAGAAATATTCATTGTCGTTCATGATGTAGATGAATGCTCGTTCTTTCCAATACTTAGCAGTTTGTTGTTCTTCGAAAGTGATTGGTTCAGCTAACAACGAGCCAGCATCTTCAGGATTTAAGAGAACAATGGCTGGTTGTCGAACATTGATCTTTTTTGTTTGTCGATATTTGCCCGTGGCATTCATTTTGCCATTTTGAGTCAGGGGACCTTTCTTATTCGGATAGTTCAATGTCGAGAATTCATCCCATGGAATATCATCACAGACTGAATATAGAGCATCATCACTCCATTCATCAAGATTCCATCGTTCTTGGAAGTAATTGGCACGACCTGGTAGGGAGAGAGCAAACGATGTTTTACTCGTACCAGTTGGTCCGATGAGAATGAGACATTTGGCACGTTTCGTACGAGAGAAATGATGTCGAATCCATCGATTCATGGCCTGATGTAGTTGATCGGTACAGTCGGGAAAGGAAAGAGGCCAAACATATTCTTTCTCCATCTGACCACGTCGATTGGCCTCTTCTTGTGCTCGTCGATGTACATAATTGAATGTCGACAGATACCAAGTACTATGTGCAAGAGATTTCGTTGGTAGAGCATGTCGAATGAGATCCATGGCTTGAGGCACGTTGGTCTCAGCAAGTTCTAATGCTTTGACTACCGTTTCTCGTTCGAACTGTCGTTGAGTCTCGATCTGTGCTCGAACTGTCGTTGAGTCTCGATCTGTGCTCGAACTGTCGTTGAGTCTCGATCTGTGCTCGAACTGTTGTTGTTGTTGTTGATGATGATGATGCTGATGATCGGACACTTACTGGTACGAGCTGTCGATCCGACTGATCAGTGGTATTATTGTCGGATGTGATCGATGGTGATGCTGTTGAAGAGGACGAGGGTCATTGTTTCTCGCCTCGAACACGAGTCGATTTGAATTCATTGAATTCGACATAGTTATCCTCTCTCTTGATGTACTCATTCCAGGCGAGATCATTTCGTGTCACCTGATAATTACATCGTGTACCAGTGACATCATCGAGAAAAGGTTTTCGTCGATCGACTTTGTTTTTCAGAATGATCTAGATGTGAAGATGTCGTTCATGATTCAATTCACTCAATTCTTCACTGATGCAAATGTATTGAATATTTTCTATACCAAATTCATTCTTGATATGATCCAAGACCATGTCTTTGGATACATCGGTCCATGCGGTGATAGCGAATGATTTCGCATTGAGACGCATTCGTTTGTGTGACTGTGCTGTTGTTGTTGATGATGATGATGATGATGGTTGTTCAAGATTGAATTGACATTCATGAGCAATGGTTGCTCGATCAAGATGTCCATAGGCAGCGTATGCACGATGATGATCAGCAATGACACCTGATTGAGTCATCATCAATGGATGAGATGAGTGTTGCTGTTGTTGTTCATTGAAAACCATGATCGAATCACTACTATTACAATCATCATCAACATCATTTTCTTCTTCTTCTTGTTCTTGGACCGATCTCGAATTACATGAGTCGACTTCGGCAAGAATTCGTTCATATACACTAGACCTAATCAACATGCCCGGTCGGAAGATTCTTGGTCGTGCATCCAACGGTGATGGACTACCGAAGAGATGATCGATGTTCCAAACGAATTGACGATTGATCGATGGATCAGTAGTTGTAGTAAGTGTTGTTGGACGAGGAATTTTGATTTGAGATCGAAGTGGTGGAGATGATGACTGGGAAGAAGTCATTTATGAGAATCGAGTTCTCTTGTCAATATAGAAACTTTTCACTATTCGCAGGTGAAGATGTGAGAATGATGAATAGTTTCTCAAAGATATGGGAAATCTATGGGGTGTGGATGTGGGTGTGTGGGTGTGGGTGTGGGTGTGTGGGTGTCGTGTGCGTGTGGGTGTGGGTGTGGGTGTGGGTGTGGGTGTGTAGGTGTCGTGTGCGTGTGGGTGTGGGTGTGGGTGTAGGTGTGGGTGTGTGGGTGTCGTGTGCGTGTAGGTGTGTGGTAGTGTTCTTCTCCACACCCACACCCACACCCAGCCACACCCACACCCACACCCACACCCACACCCACACCCACAGATCCACACCCATCAGATGTTCATCCATTTTCTGTTCACTCGTTTACATTTGAAAGAAATAAAAACAATACTATTCATACCAAACTAGCATCACGACCATCCCTTCAGCAAGGATCGAAACGCGTCGTAAGAAGCTTGGAATTCGCCTTGTAAACTCACTATTTACTTCTTGCTACGACATTGTAGACTCTTATCTTTACATTATTAGATCTCTGTTGAGAGTTTCGACTCTTATATTGATCTACTAATTTGAGATATTGTCTTACTATGTAGCTTGATTTATTCTGAACTTACCTGATGAAGACTGTGTAAGCAGCAGTCGAAACGCGTCGTAAGAAGCTTGGAATTCGTCTTGTAAACTCACACCCTCACCCTCACCCTCTTTAATACTATTTAACCATTACTTGTATATGTTCTATACATATCTTGTAACAGAGTTAAATCTTGTATATTATTGAATTGTTTTCTTCGGAAGCATTCATTCTATACATAAGCCAACTGATGAGACCCTTAAGCAAGGTCGAAACGCGTCTTGGCGAGCTTGACTCACCCTCACCCTCACCCCCTCACCCTCATCCTCACCCCACACCCTCACACCCTCACCCCTCAAGTCGAGTTGCACTATGGATTGGTCTTATTTGTGATCTTCGGATCATCCGAATAGATTAGTCTATATCTACAATTCACAGTCGTAACCACCTGAAGAGATCCTTAAGCAAGATCGAAACGCGTCGTGGTTTGCTTGACTCACACCCTCACCCTCACCCTCACACCCTCACACCCTCACCCTGTAAGTAAGATCAATTTTACGATGAAAACATTATTTGCATCGTTGCGGAATATATTCACACGCACGCGCACACATCTGTGCGCAAAAAGACATTCTCTGTGTGTTAAGAAAGTGAATTCATCAATTCACTTCTGAACAAGGATCAAGTCGATTGTGATCGAAAAGAAAACATGAATTTCACTCGTTTCCAGTATGGATGTGCGTGTTTCGATATAGATTCGTATCTGCAGAAAACCTCGCTTATACTCTCTCCCTCTTGCCCTCATCTTCAATATAGTTTTTTTGTGAAACATAAGAGTCACCACATTCACATGTTACTTATATGTATTCCATCATGAATCAACATACTAAAAATATTAGTAATAAAGAAAACGACGTCAAAATAAGCGATTTGCGTAGATAGAGCGATAAGCTGGTGACACTTCTATTCATATAATAGATGTGTCATTACAAACAATGTCTCTGTTGACTCATCAGTGTACGAGAATTTTCGTATTAGGGAAAAAATCCTGTCCGATGAAGTGTATTATTCATCATATGTGACTGTATATAACCACATATTTTCACAGGACAATACGTTTTCTTTTCTATCGGAGCGACATTAATCAATCGAAAACATGCCAAGATATACGATCAAAGCGGGTGATACATTGTGGGCTCTCAGCAAACAATACGATATTCCTCTCGACGAAATCTTAACTGCCAATCCTGATGTTGTACCTGAGAATTTGCAAATTGGTCAAACGGTAAATTTGCCCACGAGAGGGAAAACAGAAAAGCATCGTAAGTGAAAGTTTTCTTATGATGAATTGTCAGTTTGTCCTTCGTGTTGAATTTTCCAGATCACACGTCGAGTGGATCGGATCGAACAATTCCAATGCGTGTCACATCTTACGGATGGAATGATAACGATCCGCCAAGTGCAGAAATTGCTTATCCAAAAAGTGGCGGTTATCCCACGAAGCATAATTCAGCGACAGAAGGTCAAGGAACCTACGAAGATCCCATTACATTTGCAACAGACAAACGTGAACTAGACATCGGAACTATGATTTACGTTCCATTCTTAAGAAAATATTTCATTATGGAAGACCTTTGTGCATCGGCAGTACGAGCATGGGATCAAGGACAGTATCATGTTGATTTGTGGATGGGTCCACAACATTCATCCGATGAACATAACTTGAACGGTTGTGAGGCGAAGATAACAAGAACGTCGACTGATGTGGTTGTTAATCCTCCACAAGGCTTACCCGTCGATAAAACACCTCTTTTTTCCAATAATCGATGTACCGCCAAATTGTTCGATTAAGGACTTTTGACAGTAACTATTTCATACTTTATCATAAATTTTTAAGTCAAGAATGAACTGTCCTATGCATCAATGTTGCCGTCTTTCTTTTTCAGAAAATATAAGCTCTAAAAGTCCAAACTCAGTATCGTATCAAACCGATTTGAATTATGAGTCATTGAACGAACTAGACTCGATGACTGTGACTAGCCTGAGCCGGGTATCACTCATCATGAACAACTGTAACGATCATTTATCTCTAGCCACTGCGTGCAAAATAATTGCTTCTGCACGTTTTTCACTTAATGTTGACACTTGCTTATATGCGGCTCGTCTTGCTGGCGAAAGAAGAAAACACGAAATCTTTGTTTTTTTCCTTATGTATTGCTGCTTCATCGATTATCAGAGAGGTACAACGAAAGGAGTTTGAAGGGCAAGAACAGAATGATTAATTATTCCATGGCGAGCATTCAGATGGCTCGTCGTCTATTGGCAAAAATTTTTGGAACAGCCTTGTTTATCTTACTCTTAAATCCACTGCATATGCAAGCAAACATCGTAGTGAAAGTGGCCTCTTGAGACTTTCGTTCATCAAACATACATGTCGTGTTACCTATCTTAAAATGACAGAGATGCTTAGAAACTTCTGATGTTGATAGTTATGCAATTCGAGATTGAAAAATCCTATTTTTCGCTTCCTTGAAAAATATTGTTGTGCATCTATTTATTGGACTCGGGAAGAAAAGTTCATTGTTTCAACTGTTGTTCAATTAAATTGATACACTGACGAAGACCATCTTCTTGTTCAATTGAAGGACCGATTTTTTGAGCATTCTGACGATAAATTGGATAATTGTGGAGCAAATCGGCAAGAGCATTGCTCAAGTTGCTCGCATTGATTTGTCGAGTAGGAATGCCTTTCGGACCCAATCGATGAATGAAAACTCGATCGGCATTAAATGGTTGATCGGCTCCGAATGGAATGATCAACGTTGGTAGACCATAACGTAAAATAGTATGAGTCGTTCCGGCACCACCATGATGAATAGCAGCTGACAGTTGAGGAAACAGCCACGTATGTGGAATTGATTCTTTCAGATAAAAGATTTTCTCTGTATTATATATCATCTCGTCATCGAGTTTTTGATAGCCGACTAAGGAAACAATCGCTTAAGGGTGAGAGTGAGGGTGAGGGTGTGAGGAGTGAGGGTGAGGGTGAGGGGGTGAGGGGTGAGGGTGAGGTGGGGGGGGGGGGGGGGGAGGGGGAGGGGGCGGGGGTGGGGGGGGGGGGTGGGGGGGTGGGGGGGGGGGGGGAGGGTGGGG